CCATATGATCCAGCTATCCCACTACTGGGCATTTATCCAAAGAACTTGAAATAAGCAATTCAAAGAGATTTATGCATCACTGTGTTCATCACAGCATTATTCACAATAGCCAAGATGTGGAAGCAACCCAAGTGCCCATCAACAAAGGAATGGATAAAGATGTGGTATGTACATATATACAATGGAATACTACTCAGCCATAAAAAAGACAAAATTGTGCCATTTGTGACAACATAGATGGACCTTGAGGGTATTATGTTGAGCAATCTATTTTCTCTGGTATTCGTATAGCCATTCCAGCATTCTTGTGATTGCTATTTCCATGATATATGATTTTTCATCCTTTTACTTTCAATCTATTTATATTATTGAATCATAAATGTTTCTCCTGGAGACAGTATATAGATGGATCTTCTATTTTCATCCAGTCTGACAATCTCTGCCTCTTGACTGGATTATTTAATCCACTCACACTTAGTGTTATTATTGATATAGTTGGATTTACATTCACCATTTTACATTTTGTTTTCTATGTGTTTCATGATTTTTTGGTTCCTCTATTCCTCCTTTACTCTTTTCCTTTGCATGAAGTGAATACTTTTTAATGTAACATTATAATTTCTTTAATAATTTTAACTATATGTTTTGTTATTTCCTTAATGGTTGCTTTAGGGTTTACCACATGAATCTTATCAAAATCAGCTTCGGACCTATATTAATTCCAGTGAGATAAAAGGTTACTTCTATATAGCTCTATTCTCTTTGCCCCCTTTTTATGATATTATTGCTGTATATATTACATCTACCAATGTTACAAACCCAACATTACAATGTTGTGACTAATTATATAATTTTATGTATTCTAAAAAAGCTGATAAAGGAAAGGAGAAAAGTATATATTTACAGCTTTTGTTATATTAAACTTACTATTTATCATTTCTGGATCTCTTTATTTCTTCTATTCAATTTGAGCTACCATCTGGAGTCATTTCTTACCACAACACAGCTTTCCTCCTACCCACCTCCTTTGTACTATTATTGCCAAATATATTACATTTCTATATGTTATGGGCTCAACAATACACACACATATGCACACATATATAAATATATATTAAGATATGCACATATTATATAAAAATACAATGCATATGTATATACATATAAATTTTTATGTAAATTGCTTATATATAAATTATCATGCAAATTGCCTTGTTGTTGTTGGTTTTTTTGAGGTAGATTAGCTCTGAGCTAACTGCCGCCAATCCTCCTCTTTTTGCTGAGGAAGACTGGCCCTGAGCTAACACCCATGTCCATCTTCCTCTACTTTATATGTGGGATGCCTGCCACAGCATGGCGTGCCAAGCGGTTCCATGTCCACATCCAGGATCCGAACTGGCGAACCAGGAACCGCTGAAGCCGAATGTGCACACTTAACCGCTGCGCCACTGGGCTGGCCTCGCAAATTGCTTTTTAAATCAGTTAAAAAAGAAGAAATATGCATTAATACTTCTTTTATAATTACCTTTGCCAGGCTCTTTGTCCATGTGGATTTGATTTCCATCTGAAGTCACTTTCTTTCAGAATACCTTTAGTATGTCTTTTTTTTTTTTTTGCTTTTTCTCCCCAAAGCCCCCCGGTACATAGTTGTATATTCTTCATTGTGGGTCCTTCTAGTTGTGGCATGTGGGACGCTGCCTCAGCGTGGTTTGATGAGCAGCGCCATGTCCGCGCCCAGGATTCGAACCAATGAAACACTGGGCCGCCTGCAGCGGAGCGCACAAACTTAGCCACTCGGCCACGGGGCCAGCCCCTAGTATTTCTTGTAAAGTAGGACTACTGGGAACAAATTCTCACAGGTTTTGTCTTTCTGGGAATGTCTTTATTTCACCTTCATTTTTGAAAGTTAGCTTTGCTGGACAAAGGATTCTTGGCTGACAGCTTATCTCTTTGAGCACTTCGAGTGTGACGTCCCGCTGCCTTCTGGCCTCCACTGCTTCTGATGAGAGGCCAACTGCTAATCGTACTGTGCATCCCTAAGTGATGTGGGGTTTTTTTCTTACTGCCTTCAAGATTTTCTCCTTGTCTTTGACTCATGGCCTTTTAATATGATGTATCTCTTTGTGGATCTCTTTGTCTTCATCCTACTGTGAGCTTCTTTAACTTCCTGGGTATATAGATTGATGTTTTACAATAAATTTGGGAAGCTTTCACCCATCACGTCTTTGACTATTTTTCCTGCTCCTTTCTTTCCACTCTCTGCTTCTGGTACTCATCTGTTGGTGGTGTCCACTTTTCTCTGAGGATCTCTTCACGTCTCATCAACCTTTTTTTCTCTTGATGGTCCTCCACTTTTCTAGGAGGACCTGTTCACTTCTCATCGTTTTTCTCCCTCCCCGGGGCTGATTATTATTTGCTTGTCATTTGTTTAGTGACCAGCTGGGTTAACTTTGCAAAGCCTAAGCTCCTCCCTGCAGTATAAAGCTTCCGCTGTTTCCCCACACAGGATGCGGCCTTGGGGATGCCCACAGTCTCCCGGGGATGACAGTGGTTTGGGTAGGCCTTTCTTTGTCTGTCTCTCTGCATGATCGTGCCCATGAATTGCAGGCTGATTGCTCCACTGGTTTCAGCAATGCTCTGGGGTACAATATGCTCCATAGACTCTTTCAATTAAATCAGGGCTCACTGACAGGATAGCTCCCAAGGTCAGTACTTGAGATTAGTTCTGACCACAGGCAAGCTCCTCCCAGCCATCTTTCCAAGTTTTCTCTGGCAACCAGCCTGATTATAGTTCAGGCTTTACCTCCACTGAACCCGCCAATCTCCTTGCCTTCACCTCAACCTCCGCTGACTTTGAGAGCACCGTTAGGCTTGAACTTCCCCATGCTCTGTTGCCAGTGAAGTAGTTTCCTTTGGAATGAATCAAAGCTCTCTGTTTTATGGTGTGCTTCCCCCTTGGGTAAATCTCTGAGCCATGGCTCTAGAGCTGGTGGTGGGGACAATGGCACACTTCTCTTTTAGTGACACCCACACTTGAGGACCTGAGCACTCAGTGGAGGGGGCACAGCAGCCTCAGCTCTCCTGTCCCAGCATGGAACCTCAGCTTGCACAGAGGGCAGGGGTGGTATCGACTGGGTGGTGGTATGTGGTGTCAGTTGGGTGTGGGTGAGGATGTACGCACGGGGAGGGTAGGCTGTAGTGTTGCACGTGTGTGGAAGGGTGTGTGTGGGGCGATAGGTGCATACATGTGGGGAAGTATGGGGCATATGTGTGATGGGTGGGTGTGTAGGTGGGTGGAATGTGCGTAGGGAGGGGTGTGGGTGGGTGCACATGAAGGGCGTAGGGGCTGGTACGTGTAGGGGGCACAGACCCACAGACGGCAGCCTCAACTCCAGGAACTTGGAGGCTGCTGCAGCCTGAGCCTGAGACTCGATTTTGGCCTCCTGCATCACCACGGGGCCCAGTCTCACCATGGCAGAGAATGCTGGCAGAGGGGCATCAGGGTGCCCCCACCCAGCCTGCTGTCTGAGCGGCCGCTGCACCAGCTCTGTCTCCCCATCATCTGCAGTGCAGGCGTGGTTTCTCTGCAGTGGACGTGAAGCCCGAGTCTGGCTGCCAGTGGCCGGAGCACAGAGGTCGGGTGGTGCTGGGGCGGTGCTGGGCAGGTGCAGCCACCTCCACCCAGAAGGAGAGCCTCACCCAGGCAGCCCCCGGCCCGTCAAGTCCCCAGCCCCCTCCATGATGCAGGTGTGGAGGCCACCGCCCCGGGCCTGTGACTTGGTCCCTCCTGGGGACACTCTGTCACACAGAGGAGAAACCAATCGCTGACCAGCACTGCTGAGGACCTGGTCCTGGGCGTCCCCTGCAGATGCCAAGGCCTCTCAGGTGCAGCTCCCTTGCTCTCCAGGAAGAGCATTCCCTTCCCAGGGCAGACACCTGCTCATGGGGCCCAACGTTTTCCACCAAAAGTCGATTCTCTTTAGCGAGCTGAACAAGATCCTTCCTGCAACTAAGAAACAAGCTCCACGTGCACCTGGGGCTGTCCCAGGTCCCTCTCAGAATCCATAGGCCTTTCTCCCTTGTCCAAGGACCCTGCAGCCCTTTCCACCAGGCTCTTGCCCAAAATTGTTCACTTGGGCTGGCTCTGTGCCTGATGCATCACAGGCAGATGGCATGGGGCGCTTATGACAGGACGACCCAGGGCTTCAACTCCCAGAGCAGCTGCACCGGGCACAGGAAGCGGCCAGCATTTCAGCCCCTGGGGCACGGCAGGCCAAGCAAAGTGCAGAGCAGGTCCGTCTTCCTCCTCCTCCAGTGCCCCAGCCAGTCCACTAGAGACCCACGGGCACCCAGGCCCGGCGTGTCCTCAAGTCACACTTGCCTGCTGGCCTCCCATGGAGCAGGGGGGCCTTCCCCCAAGACCCTGCCCAAGTGAGAGTGCAGCCAAGTCCCGGGGCTGGGGCGGTCCTGCTGCCTGGCCATCACGGGGCAGAGACCCCACTGCTGCCCACTGGAGGACCCCAGAGCAACCTCAAGCAGCTTGGCCAGCACCTCGCTCCCTCAGGTGTCATGTGCTCCCCACCCCATGACAGCAGGACAGGTGGGTGGTGCTGACCCAGACCCAGGCCTCCTCTGGCACTGGACAAACATGCTGTTCACAGATGCGCTCCCATGGTGCAGCCTGAGGCCTCTCCTGGGCCCTGGTCCTGCCCCTCCGACCTCTCTTCCCAGGCTTGACCTACTTAGAGGCAGAGACACAAGGGCCAGGGGTACCCAACCCAGCAGGCGGCCCGGGCAGTGGCAGGAAAGGTCTCTCTTGTGTCCCTTCTGGGCCCATGAATCCGGATCTTCAGGAACATGGCCCAGACACCCAAGACGGAAATCCCAGTGTAAGTAACTGGGCAGAACAAAAACTCCCGGTTGGCTTGGAGTTTCCAGGAAGCGTGTGTGGGCCTCCCAGGACCGGGCCAGCCCGCCAGGCTGTGCCCCCTGCCACCCACCTCTCTTGCTCAGGTACAGCCTCTTCAGGTCCCACTGGCTCTCCTTGGCGAAGACGGCCTGGCGCAGCTGGATGCCCATGTATTCCAGGAGCCTCTTCCGGGCCAAAAACGTCTCCCGCTCTGCTGGCATCAGCGAGTGGAAGGGGCAGTGGGCGATCTTCCGGTCCTGCGGCACAGTGATGTGTCACCGCCAGTGACCTGGGGCACCAGCCTCTCACCTCAGGGAGAGCAGACCCCACTCTCAGCCCCGGCCCATCATCTACACTGGGTGGGGAGCACATCCCCGCTCACGGCAATGACACTCCGAAAGCCTGCACACAGGCAGCCACGCCTGCAGGACATGCTCAGTGTGCCTAGGTCTTCTCTTCCAGAAGGCCAGGAGCTAGCTTCGGGCAGAGGCATGAAGGACCTTCAGTCCAGCTTTGCCTGAGAGATACTAATGGCCCCAGCTCTACCCCCATCACCACTGGGAAACTCAAAGCCATACCTGGTAGAATCTGAAATACCCGTAGTCGACAGCTGTGCCCACAGCCACCTTGTCCCCCTGCATGAGCACAATGGGCTTCAGGATGTCAGCTCCGTAATTAATGAGTAGGTCAATCTGTGGAGAACAGAGCCTACATCAAATTCCCAGACACTGCTACCACCAGGAGGCGGGATTCAGAACCGGGGTGCCCACACGCCCAAGCGCCTGCATCAAGGCTGTGACCTGGTTGCCTGAGGCTTCCAGGCCCTCTGGACACACTGGCTGGATGGAGGAGGGCAGCCCAAGGATGAGGCCCCCAGCAGGTGAGCAGGCGCTGCCCAAACAGGTTGTTGTCACCTGCATTACCCAGGGAGGCCACCCTCTCAGGTGTGCTGAGAGTCAGCGAGAGACACAACATATGCGCCAACCTCATGGACGAGAAGTGAGGGCAGAGTGTCAAGGCAACGACTGTCACTGAAGGCAGGCAGGGCCACCTCTTGGGGGGCCCTCCCCGACACCCCACCCACAACACCACAGAATGACACCACATCTGTTGACACCTGGTGATAGTCCCATGCCCCCTAGACTGTAGGTGACACCATGGCCAACGCCAGGCCTGTCTTCTTCACCACCCCATCCCAGCGTGCCTGGGGGTGCTCCGTGACACTGGATGCATGTGTGTGCGTGCGTGTGCATGGTTGCACGTGTGCACGTGTGCGCATGCACAAAATCAGAATCTTGGCCGATTAAGCTGGAAGGAGAGAAAGGTTTGCTTAAAGAAACGTGAGACCGTAGAGGACAGGCAGGGAAGGAGGACTCCAAGAAGCGCGTGTTGGGAGCCGTTACAAATATTGAATGAATGTTGACTTTCTCTAGTGCGGGAGTGTGAAAGAACATCCCTATCCTAGGGAGACACACGTGGAAGTAGTGGGAGGAGCCGTGACGGGTGCAGCCCAGTTTCAGAGGGTTGGCCAAGAGGAGGTCCCAGAGAGAGCAGGCAGCTATGTTATAACTGAGGAGAGGGGAAATGGGGTCATGCTGTGGTGCTTTCAACTTTTACGTGAGTTAAAAAAAAATAAAAGCTAGTAAATGAATAAATAGTAAGTAATTAAATAGATGAAAAACCAACCGGTCAGCTGATTTGAGATCTGGGACAAGAACATTCAAGGTGTGTGTGGGTTGTCTTGATGCAACGGAAAACAGGTGGACGTCAGAAGCTAAGGGGCAACACAAAGGGGCTGGGGAGGCTACCCAGGGCTGAAGATGAGACAATTCAAAGGTGAAAAAGAGAGAAGCTTTCCCTGGTAATTAGAGAGGCAGATAGCATGGCTGGGCCAAGCAGACTAATGACCCGCTAGTCCAGGACAGAGCACCATAATCCAGGATCCATAATCCAGGATGGAGCACCCCAGGGCCCCTAATCCAAGATGGAGCACCAGGGGGCCCCTAATCCAAGATGGAGCACCATGGGGTCCCTAGTCCAGGATAGAGCACCCCAGGATCCATAATCCAGGATGGAGCACCAGGGGGCCCCTAATCCAAGATGGAGCACCAGGGGGTCCCTAGTCCAGGATAGAGCCCCCCAGGATCCATAATCCAGGATGGAGCACCAGGGGGCCCCTAATCCAGGATGGAGCACCAGAGGGCCCTAATCCAAGAGGGAGCACCAGAGGGCCTCAGAACGCACATCTTCAGGCCCCTCCCAGGCTCCAGATTGCTCCACAACTGTCTTCTCCTTTTAGTATCCAACAACGTCTGAAAAGCAGGGAGCTTTCCCTCTCTGGAGTCTCTTTTAATCAGGACAGGATCTTGGGGGTAATGGTAGGATCCTTAAACTAGGACCCAGAAATTGGACATCAGGAAAAGGAGTCTTAGTTCTTTTTAAATACTGAAGTTATACTTTTGTGAAGTCAAACAGCCTCCAGGAAGCCCGACTGTCATTCTACAGCGCTCCCACCCCTCTGCCCCTGGTGCTTCAGCTGGTTGCGAACCACAGCATGTACCAGGATGGAGCAATGGCAGCGAGGATCCCACCAAGCACCATCGTCAGTGGGTACCCATAGAGGACCACACGGCGTGGGTGTGAGAAGGAGCTACCCAGGGGAACGGCTGTAGGCAACAGCACACAGAGGGGCCTGCCGTGAGCTGAGCTGCCCATGGAGAGGACCCTGAGCCCAGGGGTGGGAGTGAGGAGAGGGAGATGCAGGAGCAGACCTGCTTGGGTGCCAGGCAGGGCCAGAGCAGCTGGGAAGACGGAAGGGGGCTCTGACGGGAGCAACCAGCCTCCAGAGCACAGAGCACATTCTCGGTCACACATGAGCCCACAGAGGAAACAGCTTCCAAGCACAAGGAAGCCATCCCCATGGCCAGGAGACAGCACCCCGGATCCCTGCCCAGGAGACACACCACGGACCCCTGCCCAGGAGACACACCGCGGACCCCTGCCCAGGAGACACACCCTAGATCCCTGCCCAGGAGACAGCACCTCAGATCCCTGCCCAGTAGGTCCCTTGTCTAGGATCCCAAGCCGTTGCCCAACTGACATAGAAAGATCTAGACTCCTGCAGCCAGACCAAAGCCACAGCCTACGTCTTCCTTGAGACTAACCAGGGGACTTTTGTCTGGCCTGTTGGGTGGGTTTGCCACTTCATGTTTTTAAGGGTCCACTGACATCCCCAACCCTCCACCCCAGAGCTAGACCAAAAGGTCCACAACATCCCCAACCCTCTACCCCAGGGCCAGACCAAGGGGTCCACCACACACCCTGGACCCTCCACCCCAGGGCCAGGCCCCCTCCACCATCACCCCCTCACCAGGGCCAGCTTGCTGTCCATGTTCCTCTGGTTCTCATAGGCGAAGTCACAGGCGACACACAGGGCACTGCCCAAGCCCTTGGTCAGGAGCAGGTTGGGGTCAGCTCCTTGGGACAGAAGCTCCTTCACAATCTGGACACAGACAGGCTTGTCAGCACCCACCAGGCCCCTCTCCTTAGGTGAGGAGGAAGTCTCAGGAGCAAGGCCACTGCACTACTGAGCACAGTGGCGGCCACCCAGGCACTTCACATGCATCGTACCCGCAGGTGCACCTGCTGCCTGGCTCAGAGGACAAGGCTGGGGCAGGGAGAGGGCACAGGGTGGTTCCTCAGGGAGCACTACAATCCCACCCAGGCAGCCCGGGTCCAGCACTGTCTCTGTAGTGTCCAGTTGCTCCCAAGTGGTCCTGGCTCCTGTCTTGCTTTCCAGCCCAGGGGCACAGCTGAGCCCTGCCACAGTCTCCCACCAGCACTGAGCCAGGCACACATCCCTGGGACCAGCGTGCCTCTGCCCCCGGGCACCTGGATCACTGTGATCCCCTGACTGGACACAGAGTGGGGCATGACTCACTTGTTCCCTGATGTGTCCCCAGCCACTAGCCCAGGTGCCACCCAGGAAGCCAGGAGTGACAGCAGCTGTGGTGGGACACAAGAGACGCTAGTGTTTGGCTCACTCAAGAGCTTATGTTCCTCAGAATGCAGCTCTCTTTGCCGCTGTGCCCCACTATAACGGCCAGGCACAGAGCAGGCGCCCCATGGAACATGAGTGAATGACTCAACACACCAGCTGAGGAGGGAGAGAGGGGACAGGGACCATGCAGAAGTGCCACAGAAGCCCCACATGCATCAACACTGCCTTCAGCTTCTTCAGGCCTCTGCTGAAATGTCACCTCACCAGAGAAGACCTCCCTGGCCACCCAGCTAAAGTAGCCTACCCTCCATCATTCTCTGTCCCATCATAACACTTATCATCACATGAAATCATGTTACACACTGCATTATGGTCTGTCTCCCTCAACTAGAACATAGGACTTTTGTTTCATTCAACATCTAATGCCTAGAATGGTGCCTGCCTGGCACATAGTAGATGCTCAAAAAAAAACAGGTGAATGGGTGAATGGATTATAGATGGATGGGTGGATGGAAGGAAGGAAGGTGGGAAGAAATGAAGGAAGGAAGGATAGATGAATAATGGATGGATGATGGAAAGATGGATGATGGATGCAGAATGGATGGATGGAACGATGGATGGATGGATGGATATGTGGGTGGTGATGGATGAATGGGTAGGTGAACGTGTGGTTGAGTGAATAGATAGATGGGTGGGTGAAGAAATGTGGAGGTGAGTAAGGGGGGTTGGATGGATGGGTAGGTTGGTAGGTAGATGGATGAACAGATGTGTCATTGGGTGGGTGGTGGATGTATGGATGAAGGGGTAGATGGATGTGTGTTTGAGTGGATGGATGAGTGGGTGGAGGAACGTGTGGGGGGGGGGGTGAATGAATGGACCGATGGATGGGGGGTGGGTGGGGGGATGGATGGGTGTGTGTATGGATTGGGGGGTGAGGGGGTGGTGAACTAACATATCCCTTGGTGGCAGCAGTAGGTAGGAACTGGCCAATGTGCCTTTCCTAGTACACTGAGAAGTCAATGCCACAGTGCTTTTATGCAGGATATTTGGGACAGGCAGGGGTTGTGATCTAAGCCCCATGAAGGGAGCATCCACCCAAGTGAATCCTCATCCACATGGCTTGATTTCCCTTCTACACCCTTCCCTCTCTAAGGAGCTCCACCCATGTGGGGGGGGAGGGGATCCTCCACACCCTCTACACCATGCTGTCTTCATGCCATCACCACCAACAGCAAATCTCAATGACCGACTTGTGGGAGGGGCAGTGGAGATGGAAACACCTCCGTCACTGGGTGCACCGCCCCTGGGTGCAGCACATGCTCACCAGGTCGTTCCCGCTGGCGATGGACAGCGAGAGCGGGGAGTGGCCACTCCACAGCATGTTGGGGTTTGCTTTGTGGGAGAGGAGGAGCTGGACTACGTCCCTGGCACACTAGGTGGGAAGAGAGGCAGAAGGGCAACAGGTTAAAGAGGCGCCCCCTCCTGGGAGCACCTGACTTTGATCATTAACTCAAACACCATCAAGTCAGTTTAGTCACTTAATTGCTGTTTCCCGCATACCAGCTCCTTTCGTGGCACAAAGTCCTCTAAATTGGGGGAGACGAATGGGTGGGTAGGGGCGTGGATTCTCAAACTGAAAATATGTTTTCTAAATATTCACCATTTCCAGTGGAAAACAGGGTGGACAAGTGATACTTAAATTGATTTAAAGCTTGTTTCAAAGAAAGGGGAGAGTCAGGACCATGCGGCCATCATAGCATCGCCAGGCACACAGGAGGGGTGGCCAGAGGAGCATGCCCATCATGGGGCTCAGTGACCCTATAGGACCCCGGGGTTTGAAAGAAGCCCAGCTCGGCTGAAAGGAGCATTCTCTGGGTAGGAAGGGCCTGTCCTCGCCCTCCTGACCTTCCCTCCCAGGACCCCTCAACTCTCCCCTCCTCATCTCCCTCTGCACCCAGAGGTGCTCACAGGGAGTCACTCTTTGCAGCTTCTGTTCCACCCCCTGTATAGTCTCTTCTCTGGTCAGGCTCCCACATTGAGCAGTCTGCTGAATCTGCTCCCTTTATGGATGTACAGACCCCGTGGGCTGGCTGGGCCACTCTCCAAGCCCCCTCCCTGTCCCCCCACCCTCATGGGCCAGGCCAAGGAGGTGCCAGCACAATCTGCTGAGGGGCTCCTGGGAAAGCTTCTCCTCCTCTTTCTCTCCCCACTGGAATGCAGACGTGATGGCTGGACTGCTGCAGCCCCCACCTCTCAGCACTGGGAACCTACACAGGCAATCTGTCCTTGACCTAATGATGACGTCGCCTCTCATGTCTCCTAACTTTGCTCTCCCCCCTCGGCGGTCACAAAAAGACCCACGAGGCCAGCAGCTGTTTTCATTTATGGGTGGGTAAACTGAGGCTCAGTGTACCATGCGCTCAGTAGCTTACTGGCCCGGGCTGTGCTGGCCACTACACCACAGAGGCTTGGCTCCCCAGCTCCCCCGACGCCCACCCAGGCCACTCAGCCTCCTTTGAGGGTTTCCCGCACCCACCCTCCTGGGAATTAATCCCCAAGGCAGACAAGAGGCAGCTGCTGCAGGGCTGGAGGGACCTGGGCCAGGCTCCGCAAGACAGGATCACAGCCAGGATCCCCAGTCAGAGAGGGTATGGACGGGCACAGGACAGTTACGGGCTAGGCCAGTGCACCCGAACATGCTTGACCCTGTCCCACAGCAGAAGGGCATTTCACACCGCGACCCTGGCCCCACCTGATGTGTCTGTAGGCCTGCCTGCGATGTGCATCCCCAAAATGTGTGCTGAAGCAACACTTCGGTGCACGAGTTACGTGCGATGCCCTCTGACATATTCTGTTCTACTTTAACCTAGCGTGTTCTAGTCCATTGTGGATGTGACCCACTCCACAGATTCTGAAACCCGCGCAGGGGGGATGGTCTGCAGTTTGAGGACTGCTGGCCTGGACCAGGGCAGCCAGGACCTGCAGGGAGGGGCTCACGTCCGTGCCAAGGTCTGCCCCCTTAGCTGCTGGGCCCAAGGCCCAGCCCGTCGCCCCGAGGGCTGTTGGCTCCCCCCTGCCCCCAACACACAGAAACACATGTGCACAGGCATCACCCAAGCACACACATACATGCCACTCGTACACACGTGCATCCACAGACACACACGGACTGACCTCTAAGTACACAGACACGCTTGTCTGTATACAGGAATGTGCACATAAAACACACACATACACGTATATGTGCACTTACATGTGCACACCCTAGGCACTCATATACAGGCACAGATGCTCGTGCACACATGCCACACACAGCTGCCAGCCGGCCCGGGGAGGCCCCGGCTCACCCTGTGGTTGTCCTCGCGCTCGCAGGCCACGTGCAGAGCCGTCCTGCCCCCCTCATTGGAGACGGCCGTGCGCTCGCTGTAGTAGATGCTGGCTGGGCCAGCTTCATTGTTGAGCTTCAGGTTTGAAGGCAACAGGTCTACCTGTATGCAGACAGCGGGGTCAGGCACTGGCCCCCGAGCCTCTCCCCCAAGTGCCCAGAGACCTGCCACCTGCCCGACAGGCTGGGTGATGAGCCCCACGCAGGCGCAAGCTGGCACAGAGACACGCTTGCATGGAAGCTGCAGGTCTGAAGCACCATCCTGGGAAACCCTCTCGAGTGCTACTGCATGGCTCCTGTGTGCTTTCTGAGCCACCCTGGCACCCACGAGGGGCAGAGTCATTCTCGCCCCTCCCCTCTCGGCTCACACACGGTGAGCTGTGCACACGCTGTGCGGATCAGGCTGGTTTGGGGCACACAGAGCATTAAGCACAAGGGACTAGTGAAATAAAAGTGAAATTGTGAACTAAATGTACGACCCTGTCTACAGAGGCCCCGGGCCCGCAGCACCCCTGCTGCCCCTCCTGCGTGGCGGGATGGCACACCCTGTCCGGCCTGTACACGTCATTCTCATCGGCTGCCCTGGCGTCCACATCGGTGATGGCGTGGAGCAGCAGCTCTGTTATCTGGACGCCTTCTTCCCCGGGAAGGGCGGCTGCAATGTGGAGGGGTGTCAGGGCCCACAGCTGCAGAGGAAACGCAGGCGGGGTGAGGATGTGGTTCGCAGGTGAGCGGCACCCCACAGTGTGGGGGTGGGGCTCGGCGTGAAGGAGGCCAGTGAGAAGCCTGTCCAGGACGAGAGCACAGCCGCCTGCCCCACACCCGTCTGAGGGTCCCACAGCACTGCCTTCTCACCAGCCCGGTCGTGACATTCAGGACAAGGAGGCCTGCCCGCAGTGGACATGAATGTGTCCGTTCCAACTCCTAAGATGCTTCCTGCTGCCAGAGAGGAGGCAGACTAGGAGGACCAGCTTCATTTGAGACCACCTTCCTTCAAGAAGAGCCCTGGCCCCCTGCCAGGCCCTCCTGAGGCCACTGCACAGATGGCCATGCAGCTCCTGACTCCAGTCCCTGCCCCCGGCCTGTCCTTTCTCCACCCCTGGCAGCCTCTGGTCATAGGCTGAGAGAGTTGCTGGGGGACTGACTCTTGGTGGTGCCAGGTCAGTGCCGGGTACACAGAGGGCGTCAGGGGGACTCGGCCCTGGAGGGAGCACAGTGAACGCAGAGGGAGGACCAGCCGGAGCAAGCAGCGCACTACGGATCAAAGTGGAGGACTCGCCAGCCTGCGCCTCCCAACCCCACCCTCAAAGCAGAATCGCACAGAAACGGGCAGGCGCCCTCGGAGCACGGCTAGAAGGAGGCTCGGAAACCGCTGACACCAGTCTGCTGCGCACAGGGCTGGTGCGGGCTCCAGCGGACAGGCTCCAGGAGGAGCGGGCACTCTCCCGGCACCTGTCTGACATGACCTCCTCAACATTTTAACAAAACAAGACTTCCATTTGAAAGACGAATGTGTCAGTAACAGATTCTTGACCGGGAATGAGTGAAGGGATGGACGGACACATGAATGGACGAATGACTGAGTGAGCAACGTCTGAGCTAAGTTTAAAGGTTGCAACCTTACTCAGTTTCAAAGATGGAGCCCAGGGTCCGGTCAGCAAAACTAAAAAGTTATTATTATCCTGGGTCTTACACCGAGAATCCTACGTTCCTGCACTTCTTTATGTCACACCCAGAAGAAAAGAAGGGAACGGACGGCCCGGCCGAGGGGCCTGGAAGGCCAGACCCGCCTGCCACGGAGCAGGGAGGAGTGCAAACAAAAACTGTCTGCCTTTGCAGCCTCGACACCTTCTCAATATGACAAAGAGCCTAAAAAAGTGACTGGATGGGTGTTTACACAACCAGAGAAGAAAAGCAGAATTCTGCAAGTGAATTTCAAAAGCCAGCGCTGACTCCACAGCCCCATGGGCCTCCTCTCGGCCAGCCCCTTCCTCTCTCCCTGCCCTCCCCTCGCCGGCGGGGTCCCACCTCCGCGGGGAGCTGGATGTCGGTCCTGGCTCCATTCTCCAGCAGCAGCTTCACCCCGTCCACGTCCCCGGCCCTCACAGCGAAGAACAGGACCTGCATGGGCACGCCGCAGCAGTTGGGGTCGGCGCCTCGGTGCAGCAGGAGGTTGATGGTCAGCCACCTGTTCCTGTGTCTGGAAGGATCAGCACGACAGTCACAGGCTGGAGGCCAGGCACAGGCGGCTCGCGGCCAGCTGCCTGACAACACCCCCAGGCAGGACAAGCGCTCCCGGGGAAGGACGCTCAGGAGGGTCCCGAGCCCTAGGGCCCTGGTTTCCAAGACCTCCGGCCCCTACCCTGGGATCAGGGCAGCCCACCCATCACCAAACCACCCTGAGCGGGCCAGCCCAGCCAAGCTAAGTTCAGCTGAGGCCCTGCCCCGCTTCAGCCCTGAGCGGTCACTTAGCCTCACTGAGGTCACCTGTGCGACAGGGTGTGGGGTGGGGCCGAGCCTTTCCTCCTAGGGTGGCTGTGAGGTGATGACATAGAACTCCTGGGATGCATAGGGTACGAGATTGTACCAGGCACACCACACACATACACACATCACACATACATACAACACACATACTACACAACACACACATACACATACATGTACACACACACCACTCACTCATACCCACCACACATATACACCGCATGCACCCATACACACACATACACACATACACACCACACATACATACAACACACATACAACACAACACACACATACACATACATACACACACACACCACTCACACATACCCACCACACATATACACAGCATACACCCATACACACACAAATACACACCACACACATATACACACCACACATGCATACAACACACATATGACACAACACACACATACATATATACACACACACCACTCACTCATAGCCACCACACATATACACAGCACGCACACATACACATACATACACAAATAAACACCACATACATATGCACACCACACACACATGCACACACGCACACCCACACCGGCATGCACACACCAGTGCACACACTGGCACACAAACACAACACACACTAGCATGCACATCTCTTACCAGGAGTGTGGAACTGGCACCAGTGGGGAAGCTGTGCCAAGACCTGGGCCTAGAGAGGCTCGGGTGAGTGGGCAGGGACGGCCAGCCCCACTGGGCCGGGGGAAGGTAAGGGAGGGGCTGCCCGGCATTGAGAATGGCAGACAGAGTGGGCAGGTGGAGGGCCTGGCTCATCCCCCTGATCCCACGGCCAGCATAGCACCGTGTCAGCAGATAGTACGTGGTGGGTGCATGTGCTCCAAAATTCTCATTTTCACCGAAGGCTGAAATGTCACCACTGACAACACACCCTGTCACATTTTCCTTAAAGCGAACAGCCACTCAGAAGAATGAAGAGCCATAGTGTGCCGGCTGTGGTTCTTTTGGGTAAAAGTGGTGTCCCGGGGGAAGGATGGAGAATCCCGTTTGTGGCTCCAGCCGTGGGAAAAGTGCCTTCCTCGACAGGACCACTCTCCTGTGGTTTGGGGCAGACGAGCTTCCAGTGTCCTCCCATCTCATCCCACGGAACATTCTAACAGGGCGTGGCCTCAGGAGTCGAGACTTGACACATTGATTCCTGTTGTTCCATCAATCGCATTCTCAGGTGAACCTGGCCTTCTCCCGTGCACGCGTGCGTGTGTGGGCATGAGTGGAACACAGCGCCATGTCACACAGGGACATGGCAGATACATCTTAGGATGACTAGGAGAATTATGTCTACCTCGCGGACTTGATGAAAGGGTCTGGGACACGCAGGGGTATACCTCTGGTCTAGACGTTGGTCTGGGAGGTGAGGGCAGGGGTGTGTCGGGGTGTGGGCGAGTGTGTGTGTGGGTAAGTGTGTGTCCGTCGGTAAGTGTGTGGGGATGAATGTGTGGAGAGAGTAAGCGCGTGTGTGTGAGTGTGTGGGGATATGTGTCCATGAGTGGGGGGGTGAGTGTGTGTGTGTGGAGAGTGTGTGTGTGTGTGTGTGTGTGTGTGTGAAAGTGCATGTGGAGGCCAGCAGGGGGAGGCGTAGGGTGTGTGAGCATCCGCATGGTGCCCGCTGCCCCTGCACCAATCTGGGCACATTTCCTGGACTCTGCCAAGCCCAGCCCCCAGCACTGAGGCACACAGAAGTCAGCCCCCACCCTGGGATTCCCATGGAGATAAGGCAGAGAACGACTCCCACCACGGCATTCCCTGCAGGCCTGTGGGGGAGTGGGGCACGCAGACAATGGGACACACATTCCTAGAAACAGTCCCTCCCAGTGGAACCTCCCAGGGGAAGTGATGCTGATCCACTGAGCACACGATTCCCTAAACGGGACCCTCAGCTTCGCCGCCCCGGCCCCGGCCACCTACTCAATCATGGACAGTGCCATCTGCCTCATGGTCCCTTTGTCAGAGTTGGTGGTGCCCAAGGAGGGGGCCTTCAGCATGCTGTGGGCCCTGGCGCTCTTCTCCATGATGGCCTGCGAGAGCTCGATGGAGAAGCTGTGCACACAGAGGTTGGACTCGAAGGCCGTCTCATTGCTGCCCAGCGAGCACGCGTCCAGGTTCCCTGGCACGTCATCCAGCCTCTTCCCCGCATCGCTGGTGCTGCCCCTGGGCGACGTGGACTCCCACTGCTGCAGGCTGCTCCTCAGGTTGGCGGCCTCCCAAGACTGCCGGGTGCCCAGAGAGAGGCTGCCCTCATGGCTGCCGGGCACCACGGGTGGCACCTTCAGATCCTGGCTGCCGCGGGTGGGGACAGATTCCTCATATGAGAGTGACTCCACGGCCACTTCGGAGAATGAGAAGGAATGGCTTGGAGACTTTGAGAGTTTTGGAGCTTCCTTTGGAAAATACAAAAATACGTATCATTAGAAGAAAGAAGAAATCAGAGTGACAATCCCATTTATCACGGACCCCTCATGGGAGCAGCCTTCAAGGCACCCAGGTGGCCAGTGCTAATGTGCCTCTGCACGTGCACTTTTCCAAAAACCCACAGGAAGGAAAGGACACATCTCGGGGCCATCGCATGGAAACCCCAGCCACACAACAGCCACCAGCCACACGTGGCAACTGAGCTTTCCAAACGAGGCCCCTCCAGAACCGGGGTGTGCCAGAAGCGTGAAGACACCAGAAAAAGAACGCAAAGTGTCTTCCTAATGATTGTTATACTGGTTACACACTGAAATGATAAATTTTGGACCGACTTAGTTAAATAAAATATATTAAAATTAATTCCACTTGTGTTAACTTTTTCTTTTTCATATGGCTCCTAGAAACATTTCAAGTACACACGTGGCTCCCGTCGTGGCTCACATTTCCACTAGATGGCGCTGCTCTCCAAGGGTGGTCCTTGGACCAGCATGAGCGTCCCCAGGATGCAGGATGCAGGGCCCCACCCCAGACCTCTGAGGCAGAAATGGCGGGGGTGGGGCCCAGGGGTCTGTGATTAACTTTTTCTGTGAAGGGCCAGATGGTACATAGTTAAGGCTCTGTGGGCCCAGGGGTCTCTGTGTGACTACAAAACCCCAGCATTGCAACACAGAAACAGCCATAGGTAACACATAAAAGGATGGCATGGCTGTGTTCCAACGCAACTTGGTCTACAAGAGCAGCGGGCAGGCGGACCAGGCCTTTCCAAGCCCTGCTCCAAGGGCTTCGGACGCTCGCTCACGTCTACGACCACTCTCTACAGGGGAGCGCGGGGTCGGAGGAGCGTGTCATCCCCACAGAGAGGAAGACAGCCAGTCGCTCTGACAAATAAATAAGACATCAAGAAAGAGGGAAGGAGACTAGTACAGATCGAAAGAAGCATGAAACCTTAATCGATGCAGTATGTGAACTTGTTTGAATCTGGATTCAAGACCATTCTAAAACGATAGTTATGAGAAAACTAGGGGAAACTGGACGCTGATGGAATATAGGAGGAGACCAAGAAATTGCTGTTTAATTTTTAGGTAGGATAATAGTGTTTGTGGTTATGCTCAAAAGAAAAAAAAGAGAGAGAGAGAGGAGAATGGGTCTTCAGCTAGTAGAAACACATACGGAAGGAGGTCTTTATGACTGAAGTCATCTGACATGGAATGTACCCTGAAATGACAGGAATTCAGGGGTCAGGGCAGGGAGTGTGGACGAGGTCAGACGAGCCACAGGTCAGCAACTGTTTACTCTGGGTAATGGGTCCATGGAGTTCAGGGTACTGTTCTCTCTTCTTTCGTGTATGTGTAATATTTTTCAGAATAAAAAGTTTCTTTAAAAAAAATAAAGGAGTGATTTTTATAAGGATTTTAGGAATAGAACTAAAAGGCTTTATGGGGCCCCAATTCCTTCATCAATAATTAAGCTACTCCAGGAGCCAGCCTGGTGGCACAGCGGTTAAGTTCGCACGTTCTGCTTCTCGGTGGCCCAGGGTTCGCTGGTTCGGATCCCGGATGCAGACATGGTACCGCTTGGCAAAAAGCCATGCTGTGGCAGGCATCCCACATAAAGAGTAGAGGAAGATGGGCATGGATGTTAGCTCAGGGCCAGTCTTCCTCAGCAAAAAGAGGAGGATTGGCAGTAGTTAGCTCAAGGCTAATCTTCCTCAGAAATAAAGAAAAGAAAAGAAAAAAATTAAGCCACTCCAATCGAATGAGGACTCTTCTTTGTACAGGGTCCCCGAAGACACTCAGCCTCCGCTCTCCCCATCCTGGGATGGGGGGCTTCTCGCCCAGTCCCTCCTGCTCCACTCCTTCATTCACTGGCTCCACAGACACCGACTGAGCCCCACTCCCTCCATTCCCGCACCCTCTGGACTTGGAGAGGCTGTGGAACAAAATCAGCCGGTCTCCAGAAGCTTCTGTAGGAAAGGTGACAGCATGAGGACCAAAACACTGCCACCTCTGTTCATCAGATCCCCTTCGAACTTGAAAGTTCGTCATCAGTGCAAGTCAACAACTTCCGACTCAGAAAAACAGAGTATACACACAAATTGGACCAAAGAAGAAACAAAACAAAAATTGCAGCGTTGGTTTTCAAACCCTCTACCTGCGAGTTATGGCAGCATTCTCGTCAGCACTGACCACCCTGTCACTGAGCGTCTGGGAACAGCCTGGGTCACGGTGCCCTTCAGATGCAGCTCAGCGCCCCGCCCGAGAAAGAGGAAACGAGAACGGCCTGCAGGCTGAGCAGGGCGTGACCTGCTCCTCGGGACTCGGGACTCGTCCAGCCACAGACAGGCCCTCCCGGGATGGAAGCCTCTCCCAGCCTCCTGCGCACAGGACCCCACCCGGCTGCCGGGGGCTCGGGCAGGCCCTCAGCCGCTCCCCAGCTGCACCTGCTCACCATAAGGTCAGGCTCTCAGCCTCTGAGCTCCCACCCAGTCCTAAAATTCTGTGGACCTGGTGGCATAGTCATACTTCAAAAAATCAAAAGCAAGGGCTGAGGACTTGAACTTGAGAAAGGAGGACAAAGTGCAAAGTGTCTTGATAATCCCAGGAACTCTGCCTGGGGCACAGGACGGGCTTAGTAGGAGCCTTTTCTCAAGAAAGGGATTCAAGAGGTTGGGAGCAGGTGGGAGGTGTACCCGCCAAGGGGACGTTTTCCAGGTTGAAGTCACCATCCTGGCACCATTTCCTCACCCACCTAGGAGACGCCAGACCACCATCAGGGAATGCCCTGAGCCCTTCCAAGGGCTTTCCTGGTGGACCTCAGTCCTAGGCCTGGCCCAGCCTCGCACAGCTGACACTTAGGGTCCAGGGTGTGCTTCCTGAGGGGTGAGAACACCCCCTGCAGGTGCTGCCCCTCTGGCCTAGGGGGAGACGCGGACGTCAAGTTTGCCCCGCACTGCCGCCCACCCTGGGCTGTGGCTTGTCCTCGAGCCTGCTCCGCATGGCAGTGGAACTGTGAAATGGTGCAGCCGCCACAGCAGAACGGCTTGGAGGTTCCCTTATAAATTAAACATAGGACTATCACATGTCCAGCAATTCCAGTTCTGCATATGAACCCAAAACAACCGGAAGCAGGTGTGCAAACCAACGCCGGCATAGCGACGTCCAGGCAGCACTATTCGCAACAGGCAAACATGGACCTCAGTCCTGAGTCTCGAGGATGCCTTTCCCCATCCCTCCCACAGAGCCCCCTTTCCTGAGGCCCGCAGGAGGGGTCTCAGGGCCCCAGGCTGCTGTGCGCATGGCTCGTAAGGGACACACGTCCCTCGGCGTCGTGGCAATGAACAGGACAGCTTAGTGAGTGCACAGGCTCTGTCTCCACTTCCCACCTTCCCGCCCGCCAGCCTTATGGCCAATTCACCCCATCTCTGAACCAGGTCTGTGCAGGGATGGGGGAGGCTGGTGGACGGCCGGGAAGAGAGACAGGTGGGTGGTCGGGTGGAGGGTGCACGGGGGACAGGGGGGTGCGGCCGCTGAGCCAGGCCTCGGGGGCCGACAGGCTGACCTGGGGCTTGGTCACTGTCCTCTCAGCGATGTTGGGTTTGAAAGAGTGGGCCGGGTAGTAGAGAAGGAAGCACATGTTGAGCGGCGTGAGGCCCTCATCCGAGCACTTGTTCACGTCGGCCCCGTGATCCAGCAGAAGGTTGACGACATCAGTGTGACAGTGGACCTGGAGGGAGAAGGCCCGCCTCAGAGACAGCAGGCACCCTCAGCCAGGGGCGAGAAGACGCTCGCGTGGGAAATGGCTCCTCCGAGTGCGGCCCCCGATGCTGTCATTAACTCGGAAACAGCGGACACCGGCTCTCACCGGGGCTTGGCCAAGGGACAAGGTCAGGCACGTGCCGAGGCACAGGAAAGTCAATGCGCTCCCACCATCTTTTCCATCTGACCCTGTATGTCCCACTCAGGGGCTGGGGGGACGTCGGCTTTACAGAGAAGGAGGGGAGGGCCCCGCGTCCTCGAAGGTGCCATCGCCCAGGACCCTCATGGGTTAGCCCTGCTGCTGGGGGGACCTTGCAGCTGACACGAGCACGGGGGTGGGGTGCTCACAGCAGCTGCGGCGAGCACGGTGTAGCCCCTCGAGTCGGCCACGTCGGGACTGACAATGCTCTCCCTCAGGATCCCGTAAATCCAGTCGTAGTCGCCTTCCTCGGCCTTCAGGATCATATCCACAGAAAGCTGCTCCTTGGGCCCAGGCCTCCCAAAGCCGCTCCGGTTCCCCTCCAGGATGGCGCCCATGTTCCAGCTGGTGTGAGCCTTCTTGTTCCTGGCAACACAGGGGGACTCGGTGGTGTTAGACTGGCTCTGGACCCCCTACATCTACCACCAAAAGGGCCCACGCTGGCCCCTCCCTCCAACTCTCCCACTCCTCATTCCTTGGCCTCCGCACTGCCCTGGACCCTCTCTCCGCCCCTCAAGGTCCACTCCTCAGGCACCCTGAGCCCTGATGGCTGCACCACTGGCCAGCCATGGGCAGCATGGATGGAGTGCAGTGGTGGGACATGCTGCCCGCAGGTGAAGATGCTATGCTCAGGCTAAGTATCTACCCTGGGCAAGAATGGCTGCAAGGGACCCCATGAGTCGCGGATTCACCTGGTCCCTCCGTGTGTGCTGGAAAAGGGGCTCTCTTAGCAGGGGCCCTGGATGGGAAGGAGGCCAGGTAAACACACACACATGGGCCCAGCACAGGAACATGAAAGTCCCAAGGCCATTCACCACACACACTGAAGCTTCCTGAGAGCACATAGCCCCTCTCACAGCCAAGAACCTGTGGATTTATGGTGGCTTCTGTACCAAAGAGTCATCAACAATTACAGCCTCAGTTCATATTGGTGTGATGGATGGATGGATAGAAGGATGGATGGGTGGGTGGATGGGTGGGTGGATGGGCAGATGGGTAGGTGAATGAGTAGATGAGTGGATGGATGGATGGGTGGGTGGATGGGTGGGTGGATGGGTGGGTGGATGGGTGGATGGATGGGTGGGTGGATGGGTGGATGGATGGGTGGGTGGATGGGTGGGTGGATGGGTGGATGGAGGGGGGGTGGGTGGGTAGATGGGTAGATGAATAGATAGATGGATGGAGGGATGGACAGAGGTCAGGATGGATGCGTAAGTAGCCAGTTGTGCTCACAAACACACATTCTAAAACAGTTTAGTGATATCTGAGGACAAGGTTTAGGAAAGAGTTTAAAATATTCTTGAAAATTTTAAATTAAAAAAATCAGTTTTCCTTAGGTGGCCACTAGCTGTGGGGTGGGAGGGGCGTCTTTGGAGACCAACAGCGCAGCTCCATCTTTTCCCCATCATCTTTGGAGAAGCCAGAGGCCCAGCAAGCCCCAAGCCCACTCCTGCCCTGCTCTCCTGCCCTCGGCTCTTGGGCCAGACCCTTATTAACACATCATGGTAACAGCAGTCCCTTCTCTCAGTGCCGACCTTGTGCAGGGACTTGACCTACAGGATTCTAATCACAGAGACGACCCTGCACAGGTTAGGGGCACCAGCTCTGACCGACACAGAGAACACATGCACAAGGTCCCAGAATGAGGATTTGAACTCAGCTATCAACTGAGGAGTTTATCCTATTCCACATCCCCTCGCAGGGTCTAGACCACCCTAGAGAGGACCCTGGCTCCACGCTCTCCAAGCGGCCTCCTGATGGCCCCTTCCCCCAAGAGCAGCTGAGTGAGATCCCGGGACCTCCGCATCCCTGTACAGTCATCGATGGCCCCACAGCCCTGCCTGGCTCCCCCACAGCCCCCTGCACTCTGGCAGCGGGTCTCAGCTCACAAGCACCGCCACCCTTCCTCATCAGGCTGCGTGAGTCAGTTAAACGGAAGTGTCTTTAAGTTAACCTGACAAACGGCTCTGAAAGCTACTCAGCCAGGAGCAGAGGCCTCAGGAACCCAGCCCTGAGCTCACGCCCGTCAGCGAGGAGAGGAGCAGGCATCCCAGACAGGAGGATGAGGAAGAAAGATCGAACTGATTACCTAAACTTGTAAGCTTGCTTCTGGATTTTGACCATCAAAGGGGTCTCATTTTTGATAAACCAGGGGTCCCCGTCCTCCACAAATGGAGGGATGTCATTAAGGAAGATCTGGGCATCTAAGTCTCTGCGGAAAGAGCAGGTCATGGGCAGGTGACTGTTGTCCGTTGAGTAGATATGCATCTCTGGAGGCAGAGTGAGGTCGTCATTCAGAAGAAACTGCTTATAGTCATAGAAAAAGGGGTCCTGATCCCCATGCAGGTCCCACTCCATTTTCTCCTCATCTGAGAGGCAGATTCTAGCAGGACAGTCCGTGAGGAAGCCCGAGAACTCAGGGTAGCTGCATATGGAGAAGCCGTTGGGAATCTCCGTGCACAGCTTGATGAGGTGCTCTCGGAACCACAGCCCCACATCCTGGCTGCTGTCGGGGTATGTCTCAATGCCCGGCCCGAACCGTTCATCTGCCTTGTACAGCCCCTGTGAAACAGAAGTTGGGAGGGCAAAAGAGGTCATTCAGCAGGGCTGTATATCTTGTGACCAGTTTCTTAAAATCAAAAGAAGAAAACGTAGGGGCCAGCCCTGTGACCTAGTGGTTAAGTTTGGCGTGCTCTGCTTCGGCAGCCCAGGTTCGGTTCCCAGCATGGATCTACACCACTTGTTGGCCATGCTGTGGCGGCAACCCACATACAAAATAGAGGAAGATTGGCACAGATTTTAGCTCAGGGCGAATCTTTCTCAGCAGAAAAAAAAAAGAAGAAGATGAAGAAAACATATTCCCAAGAAATGTATTCATTCATTCAACAAATATTTATCGAGGTTAGTATGCACAGACACAAGGACCAACAGCAAATGCGTAAATACAGAATGCAGTGGTGGGGAAGGTGCTGCTGACCCTGGCAGTCAGGGCGGGCCTCTCTGAGAACGTAAATGTGTCGAGGATGCCACATGTGGGCTCGTTTCAGGGAACCCTCTGCAGTGCTAACATTGTGGGACTGGCCCATGTACCCCAAAAGTCTGGGACAGCAGCGTGAAGGGTGGAGGTGCCAGGCACAGCGTCAGACAGACCCCCCTCCACCCTCGGTAGGTGTGAACCAAGGAGGAGGGCCTGGAGGAGGAGGGGGAGTTAATCCTTGCTTCCCATGAACCCAGAAAAGTGTGGCAATTTCTGGGCCTTTCTGGATGCTTCCATTGAGTGGGGCAGTCTCCGTGCTGGGTGGAGGATATGTGGAGATGGAAGTGCCAGGAGGGCTGCAGGCAAGAAACGATGAGCTTCAATGCCAAAGAAACGTCTGGCTTCCCGGGGGAGCTGCATCTTCCCTGAGACGGTGTAAGAGAACACCCGGAAGTCGCAGGGAGGGCAGAGGAACCCGCCCAGGTAAAGGCAGGAGGCCTGAAGCAGTGGGGACATGCGAGTGGCTCCCTGGAGCTGTGCCCTAATCTGTGGCTCCCACCTCAGAGCTCTCCACCCTTCAACACACCTGTCTGAGCACCTCTGGATGCAAGCCTGGGGGCTGGGCACTGGGGCTCCAAGGCTGATGAACTCCTTCGGGTAATCACAATGGTGGGAATAGCACTGGGTTGTGATTCTGAAACTATTATGCATATTTTATGAGATAAAGCACACAAATTTTGTTAATGCCTTTTTTTTTTTTTTAAGATTTTATTTTTTCCTTTTTCTCCCCAAAGCCACCCCGGTACATAATTGTATATTCTTTGTCGTGGGTCCTTCTAGTTGTGGCATGCGGGACACTGCCTCAGCGTGGTTTGATGAGCAGTGCCATGTCGGCACCCAGGATTCGAACCAACGAAACACTGGGCCACCTGCAGCGGAGCGTGCGAACTTAACCACTCAGCCACGGGGCCAGCCCCTTGTTAATGCTTAGAAACCAAGATTTTTAAGGCTAAGAGAAAAGATATGTCGAAACAACATCATAGTTGTTGAGTAAAAACCCTATACCTCTAAATTGGAACTGGAGACATCAGTATGAACCGATGATGTCTTTTCTCACACAAACACACAAAAAAAGTATTTTCCAGATCTGCTACTGAAAAGGCCCCAAAATAATAACCAACCAGCACAGTCGTAACAAGCACACAAACTGTGGTTTCTAAATATCCTGTCCCACAGAAGGAACCAGGCTCGATGGCGAAACAGTCGATTCCCGGCCCAGGGCAGGAAATGCATGAATTAGCCTGGAACTGCTTGTCACAGCAGAAAGCAAGAAAGCTACCAAAACCCACTGGAGTTGTGTCAAAATCGCAAGAGCTAAACTAAAGAGGGTCCCCCAAGCAAAGGGGGGACGACTTGGGCACCAAAAAGCAAAATAACTGAAATGGGCTAGAACACATCAAATATATTAAAATCCACGAGCTTATAAAGATACTAAGAAAAATCTAACCCTCATTGATCACCATTGAAGGGTGTTAGGAAATAATTTATTACTCTGAAAACCGGTTAAGAGGGGAAAAGATAAAGTATTATCTCGCCTTTCCATACAAACTACCTCAAGGAACCAAAGAGTTGATGAACGATTTGTTTAAATACAGGAATTCTGATTGATAAATGAAGAAGGAATAATGGAAGTAGACTGCCACGGTCTTGCATTCTCTATGAATAACAGCCCCAGACAATGAGCACAGACGCTCTCTATAAGCATGAGAAGAAAGAGCGATGGGCTGTTGTAATGAACAGAAGGAGGTTGCTGCCTCTCGAGCCCAGTGATCAATTCTGACGTCACGTCAAGAAAGACGTGTCTCCAGATAGGATCTGTGACAAAGACGCAAAGGCTAGGCAGTGGAGAAATCATATTCTGTTCAACAAAAGGAGGTGGATCAACTGGCTACCCACACCTGAAAGAGGAGAAGCGATCCTGGCTTCATATGAAACACAAAAATTAGCTCCAAATGGATCACAGACCTAAACAGAAGCGCTAAAACCATAAGACGTAGAAGAAAACACAGGAGACAATCTCAGTAACCTCGGGTTAAGCAGAGATTTCTTAACTAAGACACAAAGAAGCCAGAACTAGGGAAGAAAAATTGCTAAGTTGGACCTCATCATAACTTTTTAAAATCTGCTTTTCAAAAGACACTGTTAAGAAAATGAAAAGGCAAGTCACTACCAGGAGGAAATACTTGTAAAGCATGTAACTGACAAACGCTGTGCCCAGAATAAATACAAAGAACTCTAGAAACTCTAAAACAAGAACACAAACAACTCAATTAAAAACAGTGAGCAGCACATATGAACAAGCCCTTCGCTAAAGAAGACACATAGATGGTAAATAAGAACATGAAAAGATGCTCAATGTCATTTGACATTAGGGTTCTGCAAATTCAGCCCATAATGAGCTACCACAATACACCCATCAGAATGGCTAAAATTGAAAAACTGACAATACCAAGTGCTGACAAAGAAGTGTAGCAACTGGAATTTTTCTATACCAAAGGCTGAAATGGAAAGTGGCACAGCCACATTGGAAAACCACTTGACAGTTTCTTATAGTTTACCATCCACTTGGCCAGCAATCTTGCTCATCAGTATTGATCCAAGTGAAAATAAAGACATGTGTGCACATGAAGACTTGTCATCCAATGTTCTTCACAGCTTTATTCATAATAACCAAACACTTGAAAGAACTCAAATGTGCAGTGATTGGTGAATCAATAAAAAATGTGTATTATATCTATACAATGGAATACTACTCCATGGTGAAAAGAAATGAACTACTGAAATATGCAAAACGTGTGAACCTCAAGAGAATCATGCCTCAAGGCAAAGCAGGCAGACATTCAATACCAAAGACAGTGTGATTCCATTTATATGAAACTACAGAAAACGGGAAACTACAGTGATAATCAGGTTAGGGTTGTCAAGGGCTACAGGGTGGAGGGTGACGATGACTATAAGGAGGAGGGTTAACCGGGAGGGTGAGTTTACACACACAGGAGCCACACACACTCACAAAACCCCCTATTCATATGTATGTTTATAGCAGCCTTATTCACAATCGCCAAAAACTGGAAACAACCCCAATCCTGTCAGCTGGGGAACAGACAACCCGGGGAGGATCCTGCAGTGGAGGACTCCTCAGCAATAAGCAGCATCTCTCGGTACACAACCACGCAGATGAATCTCAGACGCTCTTTGCCGAGTGAAAGACACCAGGCACAAAATCCTGCACCTTGTACGGTTTCACTACTACGGCATTCTCGCAAAGGCAAAATCATAGGCAAAAATGCATCTGCTGAGGGCTGGGGGTGGGAGCCGAGATCTGGGCTCCCGGGGTTGTGTTTGGGGTGAAGGAGCTGTTCTGTATCCCGATTGTGGTGGTAGCTACACACTGTGTGCTTGTCACAACTTTCGGAACTGTAAACTAAAGCGAGGGAATTTTACTGTGAATTACACCGTCGTAAAATAAAAAGGAGGAAAAGGTATCTGTATTGCAAAACCAGGAATCTTCTTCAGAAAAAAAGGCAAGTTTCAAAAGAATATGCACAGAACGATCCAGTTTATGTATAAAAAAGTAAGTATCTATAGTGCAGTCATTGTTTAATCTAGAGGATGTAAAACAATTTGCTGATACCCTACCCCTGCTCTGGCGAATGGAATAATAAGAGGCTCTCTCTCTCTCTCTTTTTTTTTTTTGTGAGGAAGATTGGCCCTGAGCTAACATCTATTGCAAATCTTCCTTATTTTTTTCTCCCCAAAGCCCCAGTACACAGTTGCATATCCTAGTGGTAAGTCATTCTAGTTCTTCTATGTGGGACGCCACCACAGCACGGCTTAATGAGTGGTGTGGGGATCTGCACCCAGGATCTGAACCAGTGAACCCCAGGCCACCAAAGTGGAGCATGTGAAGTTAATCACTCAGCCATGGCGCTGGCCCCCAAGGCTCTCTTATTCTCATTTTATCTTTCATGTAACTTATTACTGGTACTATTATAATCACCAAAAATAAGAAAACTGTTTCTTGTTAAACAAACTTCCCTGGAACCTAAATATCTTCTTGTCCAGTGCCCTGAACCCACAGGGGCCCCGGCCCCTCACCTGGAAGAGCCTGGTCTTCATGCACATGGTGCCATAGCCTTCTCGGCAGCTGAGATAAAACGTGCCCGTGAAACTGGAGCCATCCGGCCACGTGTAGGTGCCCGAGCCATGGCAGTGGTCGCGGTAAAACTGCCCGTGGTAGGACTGTGGACAGAGCGCTCAGTTAGGGGGGTGTCTGATGGGCTGCTCCTCACCACCCCAGAACCTAACAGGGGGCCTCGCACACCTGGCTGGCAACGAGTGGGGACTGCTGGGGCTGCATAGGTCTCATGGGGTGCCTGGCCACAGGGCCCCCTTCAAGTTCAGGTGGCCAACATGACTATTAGAGTTGGTCAAGCAAAACACGCAGATTGGGTACCAGGCGGTCAGCCCCCCTGATGGCCACGCTCCCTCCTGCCCTGGCTCAGGCGGGCGAGTCAGGGGAGGTGTCTGGAACTGCCCAGACCTCCTGAGTCAGCAAAGGGAGGCTGTGCCCGAGTCGATGCCCTCCTTGGGTTTGGCGGGACCTGTCTCTCCTCAGCAGGTCTGGCCCAGGCTCAGCTCCCACCCTGCCCGGCTCCTGCTCAGGCCCACAGGCAGCAGGCGGGCCCAGGGAGCGGGGGCCACTAGACTCGGGGTCACAGCGTGGGACCCCGCACTTGAGGAAACACCAGTCTGGCTTTGATTTACAACTCCTCAATATCGAGGCCATGGACGTGGGCCTCTGTCTGTGCTCTTGTCCCGAGCCCTGCAAACCTTAGGGGTGGGTCTGTCAGAGCCTTCCCCTCCACCGGAGCCCAGGAGGAAAAAGAATGTGACATCCATTCCAAGCACTTTCCTATCCCTAGACTTGACTGTCATGCGTGTTGACGGCTGCCTTCCATATTGGAAGCAGGCTGGCTCAGGCACCCAGTTCACCGTCTGTGCTCACAGACCCCTCGCGTGAACAGGCCGGCGAGTATTGCCTGCTTAGAGTCCCTTCTCTTTCCTCTCACGATGGACACGACTCCCCATGGATGTGGCGGTGGACTGACCCCAGCCTCCGGGAACATGACCAAGCCTGTTGGTCAACCAGGGGACTCCTGACCTCCAGGCCCAGCCTTGATTTAGGTGTGGTCACAGGACCCAACCCCAAGCCAGACCAATGTCCTGCTGGGGCCTTCTCTCTCTTTGAGGAGTGCGTGACACTGCCCTCATGGGCTTGCCAGATGGCAGAAGGTCAGTCCCAGCCCCCCACATGGCGATGGGGAGAGAGAGGTCCTGACAGGTCATTAGAACCCCCAGAGCCAGCCAAGCCTAGGGCTCCATGACCCCTGCTGACGGACTTTTCAGTGACAAGAGCTAACAAAGGCCCTTTTCCGTTTCAGCTGGGTTGAATTTGGGTTCTGTTAGCGGCTAGTCCTGAAGAGTTTGGCCAGTGCAAGGATGTCCAGCGAGCAGAGAGGCAACAGGCTGGGGACCGCCTGACTTCCCCCAATATTCATTTAATTTGTATGCTATTGTGGGCATATCAGAGTCTACCCAACTAAAAACAGTCCTAAGTGCCAAATCGTTTGTGCAGAGCCACAGGGGGAACATTGAACCCTCAGCTCCCCAGGTTGGTATGCGTGAGAGAGGACTTCTGTCCACACCCCGGGAGAGCAGCACTGGGGGGCGGGCACTGTCCCTCCCTCCAGCCCTCCCTCGCCCCCACACAGACCAAGAGCCTCATCTGACCAGCCAGAGCTGACACGCTCGGTCTTGTTCTTCAGATACACTTAGCATGTCCAAGGTCGCTGCTCATGAGCGGCATGCCCTGTTCCTTCTGGCCTCTCTGGTTCATCAGCTGTCGTGGCTGGCAGCGCAGCTGCTCAGTGGACCCAGAGATCCCAGCCAGGCAGTAAGGAGACTGAAGGTCCCCCTCGATGACCCCCTGTTGTGGTCTCCCTTCTGAGGGTGAAGCTGAGGGCTGAAGGACAGGTTGGCTCGTCCAAACCTCCTACAACCACGAACAAGGGCTGTCTGACCGCTGGACACCACACGGTGGATAAAGAGAAACTAGCCAAGGACTAAAGAAACAAATGCTGAACAAGAATCGGTGCTCAAATCAGCAATGTCACGGTGACTTGCATTCCTTGACAGAAGCTCAGCAGAGGCTCAGGTCCGGCCGGCCCCGCCTCTGCCCTGATCACATGAGGTCTGGAGGCTCCTCTGAGCTGTGGGCACATTCCAGGCGGGGACTGGGTTGGGGACCCAGAAGCTCTGCCTCCTCCTGCAGCTACTCTTGCTCCCCATTCCCCAGGATCCATCCCAAGACCCCTCCTCGTCTCCCCCACCCCTCTCCTCTGACCTAGGGGGTCTAAGCACAAGGGGTGAAGGGTTGGATGAGGCAGCTCAGCCTTGGGCACCAAGATCAAAGAAACCATGGCCCTAGAGGCAGAACAGAGCATGGAAAAGAGAGCAGAGCCGGGACCCCACGTGGCCCCTAAGAGGTTGTGCCAGCCAGCGCCTCCCTCCAGAAGAGCTTCAGTACCAGGCCACCGGCCTTCTGGGTCCTTTGAGCTGCCCCCAGACTCTTATAATCCCCCAAATACACACACACCCCTACATTGCCTCTAGACAGTCTCTATTATTTGCAAGCAAAAGATGCACAACATCTCGGCTGAACCACACAATGCTGAGGGCAACACAGGGCAGAATCCCCCACCTGGGCACAGGTGTAGCCGGCAGGGATGTGACACACCACCGGGAAATCTCCAGAACACAGCATCCCCCTGGGGAGGCACGCAAAGCCCCCCAAGACGTAGCATATGCCCAGCTTTGCCACAAGCATGGCTGCTCCACCCAGCCAGGGATGCCAGGTGGAGCAAACAACTTCTGCCAAAGGCCCCTCGGAGCCTCCACTGAGGTCCTGGACGCAGCCTCCCGCGGACACCAGATGGTGCTCTCATTTTGTCTTTAAGAAGCTCCTTTCCTCCTGTTTAACCTTAAATACAGAGCAATGTCACCAATGTAAATACACAACTCGCTACAGTAATTCACAATTTTAAAACATTTACGCAGAATAAGAATTTATCTTCTTAAGTAACAGCTCCCCAAGCCGGGGCCTATGGACGCCCGGGCAAACTGCAGGCATGATCTTGCAAGTCTGTGAGGATGTTTCTCTCTGGGCATTTCTCAAGCAGGAAACATTAGTCTAGCATCCTTCCTGTTGGTGAATCTATGAGTTCACATTACATCCCTCTTAGAAGAAGGGAGACGGCCAGGGTTGGCCAAGCCCTGGGGGGAGGTGGGGAGGAAGCATTGGAAGCTACTTACCTCACCTGTAGGCCAAGAAAATTCCCCGTATCCCAGCTTCATGTCCAGCCCGAACTCCCCTCGGTAGACGCAGCCGTCCTGCCACTCCTGCACACCTCGGACGAGCTGGATATTGGCCCTCTTCAGGGAGGTCCTGAGAGAGCCCTCTGACTCCTCCTCCTCCTCCTCCTCTGGGGCCTCTGCGAAGTCCCTAGGAGGATGAAGAGCAGGAGGAGATCACCAGAAACGGCCAGCTGGCAAGGCGGGCGAGAGCTGGACCACGTGGCTCTGCCACCAGACGGCTTCCTTACCCCCTTGTGACTCAGTTTCCTCATCTGTAAAGTGGGGACTACGTCAGCCTGCTCAGTTGATATTACAAAGTACCACAGACTGAGGGGCTCAAACAGCAGACATCTATTGCTCACATTCTGGAGGAGGGAAGTCCGAGATCAGGGTGCCTGTAGACTCGGTTCCCAGTGAGGGCCTGCTTCCCGGCTCCCCGACGGCACCTTCTCCCTGTGCCCTCGCATGGCCGAGAGAGGAAGCTCTAGTCTCTTGTTCTTCTTATAAAGGCACTAACCTCCTCATGGGGGCCCCACTCTCATGACCTCGCCTAAACCTGATTGCCCTCCACAAAATCCCGTCTCCTATCCCCCAAAGGCACCATCACATTGGGAGTCAGGGCTGCCACATGTGGATTTGGGGACGGGACACAGTTCACTCACAAGATGTCAAAGTAAGGCTCTGAGAGGGGCACATGGGCCATAGGAGGCCTGAGGCATGTCAGCCCCCCCCCCCCCCAGCCATTAGCAACATACTGTTAAAAAGCCGTGCCAGTTTGGGGACCGCACAGTGTAAAGTCCTAAGGCTGTGAGGGGGTGACACCGCAAGGCTGAGTGGGCAGACTGAAGGGAGCACGCCCAGATCAGGCACAGGCTTCCAGGTACCCATTATTGTCATTTTGCTCTGTGGCTGTTAACACAACGTGGAGGTTTTCCTATTTCTTCAGAGACTAATTTTTTGAGGAGTAAAATAACTTTAGCAATTTTTTAACACCTGCCTCAACGCTGGATGCCAGCTAAGTCTGGTCCCCAGCATCAGGGAGGGTCCCCGCACCTTTTGGTGAAGAGCCTGGAGCTCTCCAGGGTCCCCGGGCCCTCGGCGGTAGCAGCAGGCTCTCCGCCCCTGCCCTCCAGCAGGACTTCGGAGCTGTAAGCATTTGGGACTTCGTGACACAGGCCTGAGGAATAACCACCTTCCATGTCTCTCGTCTTCGAACCTGGAAGCAACACCAGAGACCCACATTCGCCCTCAGGGCTCCTGGCGGGAGCCACGCACGGCCCCATCGGCCTCAGAGAAAGGTCCCCTCCCCTAACCCGGGTGACGCCCCCGATCTTGTTGGGAGCCCCCGGGGAACCTCTGCCAGCACCCCAAGGGTGTCCCTGTCCCTTCCCTGGGGCAGGAACCACAGGAAGGGCCGTTGGGGCCACCCTCCCACGACCTCGTTCAGGCCACGTGTTGGAGTCAGTCCTTCCCAGGCTAACTGCCCGAGGGGGCCGCAGACAGCGGGCTCCCCCTCCCCCGCGGCCTCGGAAGCCAGCCCGCGACGGCGGCGGCACCGGGTGCGAGGACACGGCCGCCGCCCAACCCCACACTCAGCCTCCCACGCACGTCGGGGCCCTAATCCCTTCCCTGTCCTCCCGGGAGGATAGCGGGCCAGGCCCGGGGGCGTGGGGCGCACGCACAGGTCCCCACCGCCGCCTCCGCCGAGCTCGGGGACCCCCGACTCCGGCTCCCCGCGACTCGCCGCGCCCCTCCGGGACGCCGCCGAGCCCCTGCCTCGGGGCTGCACCGAGGCTCGGAGAGCTCGCACCAGCGCTCGGGGTCACCGGCCGCACCGGGTCAGCCCCGGACGGGAGTCCGCGCAGCGCAGCCTCCACCGGCTCCGCTCGGTGCGCCGGCAGCGTCGGGTTTCCCTGGAGACGGGCCGGCCGCCCACGTGCCCGCCGCTCTCGCCTCCGCCAATCCGCGCGCCCAAAAGCGCCGGGCCACGCCCCCGGGCTGCTCCGGGACAGGCGACGCCCCTCTGTGACCTCACGGGACCCCGGGCCTCCCGCCCCCACCTGGTGCCCCGCCGCTCCCCTACGCCTCCTCCATCTCCATCTCGGACACCGGCAGAGGACGGCGGGTCCGTCCCCAGGTTTAGGGCTCCCGGGGAGACTGCGCGAAATGCTCCCAACGCCCCGGGAAAGAGAGCACGGGTGTGCCTGTGGGAGGAAACTGAGGCACCAGGGAGTTCATGAACTTCCCCACGGTCACGAGCTAGAACGTGATAGAGTCAATATCTGATCAAGCTCTGCCTGACTCCAAAGCCGGGTTTTGTCCACAGGGTAAATGTTTGTGGAAGGCACACAGGGGGAGCTCGTGGTCTGGTGGGGGGACAAGGTAAGTGAGGACGGGGCCCCAGGTCACTGGGAGAGAAGAAGGATTCGCTGTCTGGACGGAGGGGTCACTGGGGAAGACTTGATGGAGGGAGGATTCCTGAATAGGGTTTCAGAGGATGCACAGGAGGTCTCCAAAGAGAAAAGAGCACATTTCAGGGAAGCCAACTAGGATGTGCAGAGGCACGACGGTGGGGCAGCACCAGGGGCTTCGGCACCTGAAGCTGTTGGGGCTTCCTGGAGAGTGAGAGGAGGAGTGCCCTGCTTGGGGTTCTCAACCCAGACTGCCCCTTAGAACAGGGGGGAAAGAATATGAAGTGCCGAGGCCCAGTCCCTCCCCCACTGACTAGAAGGGCGTGGACTAAGGCAAATGTGCCAGGAGTCCCGGGTTCTAGGGTCACCGTCTCCCAATTCACCTCTCCCATCTCCCTTGGTCCCCGCCTTGGTTCCTGGATCCCCCCTCTCTTTACCTCTTGTCCTTGCCCTCTCTCTGTTGGTTCCCTCCAAGTGCAGCTTGGGAGGCTGAGCAGAGGCAAATTGAGCTGTCTTTAAAATTCATTTGTTATGAAAAGAGAAAGAAAAATGGTCAACTAAGACTTCAAAATATCCTACGAGCCTGTTAAACCGTATCACCTGTTGTGGGTTGAATAGTGTCCCCCAAAAAGATAAGTTCAAGTCCCTACCCCGGTACCTGTGAATGACCTTATATGGAAATAGGGTCTTCGCCAGTGTAATCAAGTTGAGGTCCTACTGGATTAGGGTGTGCCCTAAACCAAATGACTGGTGTCCCTATAAGGAGAGAGAGACTTGGAGACCCAAGCAGAGGGGTGAATGAACTGCTGGTGTTTCAAGCCACCCGGATCGTGACACTTTGTTACAGTGACTCTAGGAAAATAATACATCCCCCAAATGAATGACTCTGAACAACAGCTAAAAGAAAGCTATCTGTGGCCGCTTTGGCAAGCCTGACAATTTGGGAAGATTGGCAAAAAAAAATTCTAAATAAAATGTGGCCAAAGAAGAAAAGGTGTCCTGGAAACTTATGTAAACTGGAAAAAATGCAATATGAAACGCTGATATTTTGCTCCTATTCATAAGAATATAGGCACTGAAATTCTAAAAACCAGGCATGTGAAAATTAAAAAGCCCTATTTCCACAAATTGATACAAGTCCTACATTGACACTCAAGAATATGTTCAAAAGAACATTTTCATAAGAATAATATTGTAACATTCCTTGACATTATTCAAGAATATGAACTTTAAAAGTCTTTGGTGAACTAGTAAACTTGGTAAATTCAGCAAATTAGTAATTTAGCAAACTGTTCTTTATGAAGAGTGGCTTTCAGCACAGCAGCCACTCATAAGAGTCGTGGTATTTGCAAAGCAGAAAATGCCGACTGAACCTATCATTGTTATGAAATTTAATGGCATATGGCTGATGAAGCCTGCATGGGAAAGGAGAGTGGCATGTCTATTAAAATTCAATTGAAGACTTTGAAAAGTTGACAAAGGTCACTTAAAAGTTGCAATCAGGGGCCGGCCTGGGGGCATAGTGGTTAAATTTGCACACTCCAATTCAGGGGCCCAGGGTTCACAGGTTCAGATCCTGGGCGTGGACCTATGCACCACTCATCAAGCCACGCTATGGCAGTGCCCCACATACAAAACAGAGGAAAATTGCCACAGATGTTAGCTCAGCAACAATCTTCCTCAAGCAAAAAGAGAAAGATTGACAACAGATGTTAGCTCAGGACCAAGCTTCCTCACCAAAAAAAGAAAAGTTGCAATCAAATTAGATACAGATGAAACACTGTAAGAGACTGTGGGAAAAATCATTTAAAAAATTCCAAAAGGATTCTACTTGCAGATTGCTCCTCAAATGCTTTGAAGTTCACAGGAAGGGAAAGAACAGGAACTGGAAGGCACAGCCAGGCACTGAGTGCCACCATGAGCCACACCCCACTGGCCCCAGCGAGACCATCAGAAGTAGAAAGTGAAAGGATATGTGTGTATGTAGTGAGTCAAAATCCAATGTTTAAGGAGAGTGGGTAATTTTTTGGGGGCTGGGGACTCTCCTGCTTTAAATGGCTTTTTAGCTTGACTAAGTGATGGGTACAGACTTTATCATGTATCAGAATCATGTGGAGAGTGTGGTAAAACACAGCTTCCTGGGTCACACCCCAGAGGCCTGGGAATCTGCATTCCAACCACGTTCCCAGATGCTGCTGAGATGTGGACAGCACTTTGAGAGCCACTGGGCTATAGTGTGAGGTGCAGGCGGGGACGGAGAGAGAGATGACACTAGAGGGACAGGACAGGAGGGGCCTTGAATGCCAGGTTAAAGACAGAAGGAGCAAGACGTTTTTAAGCAGGCGGGCGATGCGGTCAGATGTGAGCTTTGAATCAGAGACTTTCAAGACTTTGCTTGGGACCCACCCTAAGACCCCATTTTACATCATAAACAAACCTAACTCAAAAAATACCCATGCAAATCTCACTCTACTACACACAGGCACCTTAATATTTGCAAGTATTCTTTTCTATACCATTTCACTAAAAAGTGAAATACTGGTCATGACCCACAAAATTGACTTCACAACCCGCTAATGGATCACGACTTGCTAATGAGTCAGGACCGACATCCGAAAAGCACTGCTTTAGAAAGCACATTCCGCTACAGCGTGGAAGGCTGGAAGGCAGGCACCCCTCAGGAGCTGGGTGCCAGGTCCCGAAGAGGATGGCCCAAACTAAATGTAGCAGTCAAGGTGGAGAGAACGGATTTAAGACACTTAGGATGTCTTGTTACTGATTCATTAGTCAGGGGGGTGAAGGAGCAGGAGGGATCAGGTGGGAGGCCTTGGAACAGAAAACCCACCTCGAACACTGTCCAACAATAAAGGGTGATTTGTTGGCTCAGGAAACCAAACAGTCCAGAGGCAAGAGGGTCCTCAGGTTTGGTTTGATTCAGAGCCCCAACAATGTCATCAAGAACCCCGTTCCTCCCAACTCTGCTTCCTCTCAAGCCTGGCTTGCCCTTGTGGTCATAAGGAGAACAAAGGAAACTTCCAAACTCCTCTCTCATCGTTCGTTCGTATGAGAGCCCAAGCCCTTTCCTGCAGCAATGGGAGGGGGAGCGGCCAGGGAACCGGCTTCATGCCTGGAGGTATCCCCGGCCTGCTTCTGGAGCTGGGGGACAGGGACTCTCCACCTACTTGGACAGTTCCCATGAACTCTGGAAAATAGGAATTCCTTTCCCTCCACATCCCAGGAAAGCCAGTCTGTCCTTAGGGCAGAGGAAGAGGGAAATGGATGCTGGGAAGGCCTCCCCTAGGTGGGGGCTAGACCTGCAGCCAGTGAAGAGCTGGCAGCAGACCGCCATTTGAGTCTTTAGCTCGGAGGGAGCCCTAGGCTGCAGTAAAGATCTGACAGTGGCAAGCACCTGGTGGCTGCTGCTGGAATGGAGAGAATCAAGATCACTCAGAGAGATTGTACCAGTACGGTTTGTCAGATTGATCTAGGACCTAGGGGCAGGGGAGACTGGAGGATAATTTCTGGTAGCATGAATTGTAAATCTTTTTTTTGAGGAAGAACAGCCCTGAGCTAACATCTTCTGCCAATCGTCCTCTTTTTGCTGAGGAAGACTGGCCCTGAGCTAACATCGTGCCCATCTTCCTCTACTTTATATGTGGGACGCCTGCCACAGCATGGCTTGCCAAGTGGTGCCATCTCTGCACCCAGGATCCGAACCCTGGGCCACCAAAGCGGAACGTGCGCACTTAACCGTTGCGCCACCAGCCGGTCCCGGATTGTAAATCTTAAGTAAACGATGGAGATGAATGGGAAAATGTTTCACTATTATTAGAATAAAACTGAAACTGCAATAACAATATATGCAGGGCTGCAAGGCAGTTAATGCTCACTGCAACCATTCCCGGAAAGACACAGGACATCAGAAAAAACCCTCGAAGAGGTCTTCTTAAATGACAGCTACGTGGACCTTAAATGATTTAAATTAACTTTTAAAAGTTACAGTGGTGACCCCAAAAAGTTAAAACAACAGAAACACTGGTCTATGAGGAAGTATCAAATAACATGAAGTTAACGGTGAATAGTTTTATTTTACATGAACCATGTGTTGCAATAAAAGGGAAAATAAAATGCAGAAATTACACAGGGCGATTTATTAGGAAGCAGGCAACAAAAGGGAATAGACGCAAAGCTGTCCTAAGGGCACCTCAGCCGGCAACGCGGTTGCAAGAGTGGTTATGAAGAGTACGGCCTGCCGACGAACCCACAGGGAAGACACTGGTCCGGGCCACATGAGAGTGTGGCAGGGCCCCTGCTCCTCTGCACGGCAGTCGCAGGTGAGAGGGGCCCTGCTGCCCTCCCGCCCAGCTGGACTGGCTCCGGTGACGGCGGCCGCGTCAGCGCAACCTCCCGGGTCGCACGCACCTGCACCGGTAGCTCTAGAAGCCCCGCCTCGCAGCTCCGCCCGGCACAGGCTACTAGGGTGCGGCCCATTCATTCCAGGCCCCCAGCCCCGCCTACTCCGCTGCAGCCAATCCGACTCTCCCGCTGAGTAAGAGCCCAGCCAATGGCAGCCCTCCCCAACCACAGCCAATCAGAAGAGGGGGCCCGCACAGCCTGGCCAATGAGGCGGCGATTAGGGAGACATGGGCGGACCCCGCTCCCGGGCGGGAGAGGAGCGGCGCTCGGAGGTCTCTAGGACCCTGGGGCACGCGGCCGGCCTCCCACCCCCCAGCCCAAAATAAGCCCCCGCGGGGGGCGCCCGAGCGCCGGTCATGGACTCGGAACGAGCCGGCCGCCCTGAGGCCGCCCCGCCCGCGCCGCCGCCGTTCGTGCGCGTGGCGCCGTCGCTCTTCCTCGGGAGCGCGCGCGCCGCGGCCGCGCCGGAGCTGCTGGCGCGCGCGGGCGTCACCCTGTGCGTCAATGTCTCGCGCCAGCAGCCTGGGCCGAGCGCGCCCGGCGTGGGCGAGCTGCGCGTGCCCGTGTTCGACGACCCGGCCGAGGACCTGCTGGTGCACCTGGAGCCCACCTGCGCCGCCATGGAGGCCGCGGTGCGCGTCGGCGGCGCCTGCCTCGTCTACTGCAAGAACGGCCGCAGCCGCTCGGCAGCCGTCTGCACCGCCTACCTCATGCGGCACCGCGGCCTCGGCCTGGAGGCGGCCTTCCAGGTGCGGCAGGGCGGGACTTCCGGGGGCTAGGACTTCCTGGAGGGGCGGGGCTCCGGCGTGGGCGGGCCTTCCGGGAGGGCGGACTTCCGGACTGGAAGCGACTTCGTGGGGCGTCCGGCGCCGGAGGAGTCTGTGGGGATGGTTGCGCGGAGCTCAGCCCGAGCTTCTCGTTCGCAGGCCGTGAAGAGCGCGCGCCCCGTGGCCGAGCCCAACCCGGGCTTCTGGGCTCAGCTGCAGAAGTACGAGGAGGCCCTGCAGTCCCGGTCCCTCCTGCCGCGGAGCGCCCGGGACAGCGAGCCCTAGTCGGTCAGCCTGCGCCTGGAGCAGGCGCTGGGCTTTCCCGCGGCCCCTGGGCTGGGGGAGGGAGGCCACGCACTGACCGAGGCTGGTCCCTCCTCTCCTTCCTCACTGTCACACGCTGTGTTCGCTTTCTGTGTCTTCCTGAAATGCAGCTTCAGAGTCTTCGTCCCCTCTTGACCGTAGTGCGGGGTGTGTCCACCGAGGAGGGCACGGGGAGCCGTCCCTCCCCTGGACAGCAGGCTTATTAGACAGGGCTCGGTCAGGAAAATCAAAACCACTGGAGGGATTTTAGGCAGAAAGACATTTAATACAGAAATCAAGGCCGGAGAGCCACGGTCAGGAGATCAGGAAGTGGGGGAGTCCCGAAGACCCTCCACCCTCACCCTGGCTTCCTGCCTCTCTGATGTGGGCGACTCTGGGAGGGCACCTCGGACTGCTGGCGAAGCCTCGTGCCTGCCATCTGCTCGAGCCACAGGCTTTTCCCAAACCTCACACTGGTCCCGTCTCAGAACCCAACACAGATGTGGTCAGGAGGGCCCACAGTTTCCAGACTTCTCGCTGCTACGTGTAGGTGAGGGTGTGAGGCCGTGTGACAGACCACCCTTGGTGCTCTCTGCGTCCGTACCCACCTCTGACCTTACCTCCCAGCTTCAGCAACAGCATTGAGCCCTGACCTGGCATCCTGCTGCTAACACAGTGGCCCTCCCAAGAGTGGAGGGCACAGAACCCCATCAGCTGCCCCACAGCTTAGATGCCTGTCGATTCCTCTTCTGGTTCAGATGCACCTCACCTGGACATTCTGTCCATATCTGGACATATCTGATCTACTAGATAATTACTCACCATCAACACTCTTTAAATAAGATAGTGGGGAAGGAGAAAAGGAAAAACTGGGTAATGTACATGAATTACAGATAACACAGTTCTTGGTTAATATATACAAATGTATCCATGAGAAAGTAATTAATAAAATAAAGTGTTTGGTGTTATCATTTCCCTTTTCACTATCCATTCTCTGTTCCCTCTACTCTCAACCTGCACCTCACTAGTCCTGGTCTTTCCTGGTGGGGTGACTTGAGCCTTCATCCTGAAAGGCCCAGAGTGGCCCTGCCTGCACTGGTGCTCCCACACACCTGGGAGTATTGGGAGGCATCAGGGGGATGTCCTGAGTTCCAGCGTACTCTTCCTGACCCCGCTGCCCCTGAAGGTCAGGATCAGCCACTCCACCCAGCAGAGCAACCCGTTTTGCCTGATGCCTCGCTGGCCTAAGGAACCCAAAATGGCTAGGTGGTGTCTCAGCCTCCCATCCAGGGGCACATGGTGTGTCCCCAGGTGGAAGCATCTTACCTGGGAATGAAGACCTGACCCAGCAGAGCCCGAAGTCGTGGGGATGGGAAGCTCACACTTTTCGAGTGAGGCACTGGGGTGGTTGTGAAAGGGGCCTCCCTCCCCCCACCACACTCCTCTTGCTCCTGCACCTAGGTATCTGGCTGTGACAGGAGCAACACCATCGGTTGGTCCCTGGCTCAGAGCATACACCACACCTTTTAGGTGTGTACCCAGCCCTGTGCGATGTCACCAGTCAGTAGCCCCAAGAGCCACAGCCCCAGACATAACCCAACTGCACCTCATCGCAGCTACCCTTTTACCACCTTTATTGAGGGCTTGCCAGCTGCCACTTACTCCTCCCAAGCCCCTCATAGCTCATGTCACCTTTTCATCAATCCCACAAAGGAGCTCCTGCCTTTGTCTCCACTTGGCAGGTGAGGCTGCAGTGGCTCCATCGGTAACCTCAGGTGAGCTGAGCATTTGCCTGGCCAAGAGGTCAGGAGTCAGGACCTGAACCCAGGTTTTTACCCTGTGTGCTCACAGCACCTTTGATGGCACACCCACCTGACCCTGGGTGACAAGCATGCAAGGGCAACAGAGCCTGGGCCAGGATGAAGGACAAGTATGGGTTCCATCAGCATTTTATCCCACCAGCTCCATCCTGAGAACCATCCCACTGTGGCTCCCACCAGAAGCCCAATTCTCCCCAGGACTCTGTCCGCCACCACATCCACATCCTAGCATCCTGGGACCCGCTCCCCTCCCTGAAGCCAGCTCATTTGAACAGGGGTGCCCGGTCCACGGGCGTTAGGAAAAGGCTGGGGAGTAGATGGAGTGTCAGCTGCTTCAGTCCGCCCAAGCCAGCCAGGATCTGATCCTAAAAGGCTAGAGTATGAAGATCCTGTGGGAGAAACCTCGGCCCTGACAATCCTGACTTCTATGTTCCTGTCCCCAGGTCAGGGTAGGGGGTGACAGGAGAACTACACTGCAGCAGCCCCAGACCTCCATCAGCCTTCTCCATGGGGGTTTTGGGGGGCGGCAGACAGGCTGTGATGGAGGAGCCTTGAAGCAGCGCTGAAGGCACTCTCCCCTGAAGGACAGGGCCAGGGTGGAGAATGGAGACAACCACTGTGGGCTTCACAGTTCACAAGGTGCCTTGGTGGGCTGGCTTTAATACTGCAAACAGATCTGCTTGCTTCTTCAAGACCAGCTTGTGTTGCTTCCTTACTTATAGAAATGTGGGGTGGAAGGCACCCCCAGCCCAGGGGGAGAGGTGGTAACAGTTCTTCTGGACCCAAAAGGCTGCCCCACTCCACCCCTCCTGAGTGCAGAACTGGCTGTGGGGATGCCCAGGTCCTCCAGGAGAGAAGGGATGAGACCCCACCCCTGCTTACCCAAGTCCAGGGGACCAGGAGGGCAAGAAGGCCCTGAGGGCACAGGTGTGCTGGTAGACCTGCCTGAGCATGGTCAGGGCAGGCTAGTGTGGGCACCCATGTGCAGTCCTGATGAGCTTCCTCCAATCCCAGCCCCAGCCCCAGCCCCACTGGGGAGGCCAGTCGAACTGGGAGTGCCATCTAGAACACTCAGCACTCGGCACCGTGGGGCCTCCACCACCTGGACAGGGCACTGGGCCACCTGAAGGCGGCAAGGACCAGTCAGACCCAGCTCTCGCCCCTCCTGAGTCTTGGATGCGGGACTCACCCCCCTCCACCAGGTGACTGCAGGAGTTTGGAGTGGGGACCCCAAGAAGGAGGTCGTGTCCCCCCAGCTAAGAGGGCACATGGGGACCTGAGGACCCACAGGAAAACTGCAGCGATGCCTCGGTGCTCATGCTCCGCATCAGTGAACACACGTCCTCCCTCTCAGCAGTCCTTCCAACCCCCGGGGAGGAGGGCAGACAATCAGATGGGTTACAGATGGGGACACTAAGTCCAGAAGGATTGAACACTACTCAGGGATGACCCAAGGCCAAGTGCAGTGTCTGAGTCCCACCCACACGCCGTGAGCCACAGGCCATGGAGCAGCCGAGAGAGGTGTGCAGAGGGTCCTGGATGCTCTCCCAGGCCCCAAAGCCCCTTCTCCCCAAGGACCTGAATTCTTACGTGATAACAATAGCAACATTTTGGTGGCTGCTCTCATTCCATGGCTTTGAGGTCCACCTGCTGCCCCCTCATTGGGTATCCTTGCTGGTCTGCAGCCCTCCCCTCGGGCCCCAGCCCCTAGTCAGGACTGGGTGAGGTGGGATGGGGGCAGCAGGCCAGGTGCCCATTACCACCCGAGCACGGGGCTCCTAAACAGTCTGCGCTCCAGGGCCCTGCCAGCCCTTAAGGCAGCGCTGTCCAACAGAACTTTCTGCGAGAATGGAGTATCTGCTCGGTCCAATGTGGTTGCCACTGGCCACACACTACGCTACACACACACACACACACACACACACACGGAGACCTTGAAATACAGCTAGGCCAAACGAGCAACTAAGCTTTAACTACTTCATTTAATTTAAATCTAAATAGCCACACTATTTAGCTACACTGGTCTCCCAGGGCGGTGGGTGGGGAACCATTCACTCATTCCTGGGGCCTGAGGCCCCTGAACGGACGGATAACGTGGAGTTCCAGACGTTACCCTTCCCGGCTTCCTGGACGCAGAGACCCCACGGAGAGGCAGCTCTGCCCCAGGTGTCCCAGCAGCCAACGACCCAGGAACCTGACCCGCAGCGTCCCTGAGGGAGCGGCGATCCCTCCTGGGGTCCCCTGGCGCAGGTCCGGTAGGAAGCGCACAGAGCTGGAGAGGCCGCTCAGCGGCCCCGTGCACCACGGCTCTAGCGCCCCCCGGTTCCCCCCACAAAACGCACCCCCGCCCCGCGTGCAAAGCCCTAGGGCCCCGGCCGCCCGCCCACAGCACCCCCGGCTCCCCGGCCTCCCCACTCACAGAGCCCCTGCCCAGCGCACACGCCGCGGCCCCTTGTGCACAGAGGCAGGTCTCTCCTGGCACAGGGTCCCCGGCTCCCCGTCCCGCCCTGCGCACGGCGCCCCGACCCCGCGTGCAGCGCCCCAGTCCCGCGCACAACGCCTCGGCTCCCCGCGCGGAGAGCCCGGGTCTCCCCGCGCACAGGGCCCCCAGCTCCACGTCCCGCCCCGCGCTCAGCACCCCCGGCTCCCCGTGCCCAGGCTCCGCGCATGGAGCCCCCGGCTCCCGGGTCTCCCCGCGCACAGCGTCCCCGGCTCCACGTCCCGCCCCGCGCTCAGCAACCCCGGCTCCCCGCGCCCCGGTCCCGCGCTCAGCTCCCTCGGCTCCCCGCGCCCCGGCTCCGCGCACGGAGCCCCCGGCTCCCGGGTCTCCCCGCGCACAGCGCCCCCGGCGGCAGCCGAGCGGAGCCCGAGCGGGGCGGCGCACGGCGCGGGGCCGGGCCGGGCGGCTCCCGGCGCGACTTCCTGTTGTGCCCGCGCCCCGCCGCCGTCGCCGCCGCCGCCCGGCGCCCCTCGCCCGTTCCCCGCGGCCCGGCGCGGCCGCCGCCCATGGATTTCACCTAGCGCGGGCGGCCATGGCGGCGCAGTGCTGCTGCCGCAAGGCGCCCGGCGCCGAGGCCGCGCCCGCCCGTCCGCCGCCCGAGCCGCCGCCCGCCCTGGACGTGGCCTCGGCCTCCAGCGCGCAGCTCTTCCGCCTCCGCCACCTGCAGCTGGGCCTGGAGCTGCGGCCCGAGGCGCGCGAGCTGGCCGGCTGCCTGGTGCTCGAGCTGTGCGCGCTGCGGCCCGCGCCCCGCGCGCTCGTGCTCGACGCGCACCCGGCCCTGCGCCTGCACTCGGCCGCCTTCCGCCGCGCCCCCGCCGCCGCCACCGAGCCGCCCTGCGCCTTCGCCTTCGCGGACCCCGGGCCCGGACCAGCGCTGCCGCCCCCGCTGCCCTCCTTCCCCGAGGCGCCCGGCGCCGAGCCCTCCTGCCCGCTGGCCTTCAGGGTGGACCCGTTCACTGACTACGGCTCCTCGCTCACTGTCACGCTGCCGTCGGAGCTGGAGGCACACCAGCCCTTCCAGGTCATCCTGCGCTACACCTCCACCGACGCTCCCGCCGTGAGTCCTGCCGGGATGGGCGCTGGGACGGTGGGTTGGTCCGCGGGGTCTCCAGGTGGCCTGTCCTCGCGCTGCCAGGTTAGGGGTCGTTAATCTGGGCTCTGCTTCCGGGACAGGCGACATTGGCCTGGGCACCTGCAGAGAGGGCAGGGCCAACTTGGCCCCGGAGGGGCCCTGGCGTCTCGCTTGGCACTCCCCTACCTGGCCCTGGACCCCTGCCTAAGTGGCCTCAGTGATTCTCAGCTAGTGCCTGTGGTGCCATTAGGACAGGGGACAGCATGCCACCAAGGGAGGCCACTCCTTTCAGGTGTGCCCCGGGACAAGAGCAACTTCAGGTTGGCACATGTCAAGACATACATCTGCAGGAGCCTGGCACTGAGGGGTGGGCCAGGGGGGTGTCAGATGTGGAAGGGCCTCCTTGTGACCTGGGCCTTCAGAGAACTTATAGACACCAGGTCTGTCTGCAAGCAGCATGACAGACAGACCCGCGGGAGCAGGAGGCAGAAAGGGCTGGTTGGCTCTGATGCTCTGGGCCCCCTGGGAGAGGACTGGTGGGCTGCTGTGGCTCAGTGGCCATGTCCCCAACACAGACAC